ATGACGACGACGACGATGATGATGATGATGATGATGATGATGATGATGATGATGATGATGATGATGATAATGATAATGATAATGATAATGATAATGATAATGATAATGATAATGATGATGATGATGATGATGATGATGATGATGATGATGATGATGATGATGATGATGATGATGATGACGGCGATGACGGTGACGATGATGATGATAAAAGATGATCCTGGACGCTGTATAGGAATCCTCAAAACATCCTGAGGATTTCTTCGGAAATCCATGGGATTCCCTCGGAATCCTTACGACTCCTTAGGAACTCCGTAGGATGGCTTAGGACAGCCTTAGGCAAATCCATGGGATTCCTGTGGAAATCTATACGAGACCTTGGGAACTCCATGGGATTCCTTCGGGAATCCATAGGAGGATGAGGATAAGGAGGAGGAAGAGGAGAAAGAGAAGGAACTCCAGGACCGGTGTTGGAACATACATCGATCTTAGGTTGTCTACTTGTAAAACGTAATTCTATTTCATCGCTTTCAATTGCGCATGTGCAGCAGTATGAGTCCATGGCGGCTCGTTTGCGGCGATACAAAAAACACGGATCAAAAAGTTCGGGGCGGGAGGCGCAAGGAGGAGGAGGAGGAGGAGGAAGAGGACGCCTTAGGAAAAAAAATCGGATTCCTTGGGAAATTCTTAAGATCCTTTAGGCAATCTATAGGATTCCGTCGGAAATCCATAGGAACCCGTTGGGAAAACAACGCGATTCGCAACTTTCCCCCGCAATTATCCAGTTCGGCCTTGCCGCCGCTCTTCCCCGACCAAATCTGCATTGGCGGGGGATAATCAAGTCTCAGGGGTTAGAAGTGAAAACCAATGATTATCCAGCGAATTGGGTTACTGCGCTGAGCACAACATGGCGGCATGCATTACAAAGCCCGTCATCAACATGTAAAAGTGGAGGAACACTTGTTTTGGAGGAGCACGGAATAACCAGTCCTCGATAAGCACATAATCCAACTCTGGCAGTTCTGACAGCATCTGTAAGCTCTCTGTAACAGAGTTCGTGATCGGCTTGCCCTTTGAATTGAAACTCGTGTTGATCAGAGCCGCAAGGCCGATCCACTTCGCGACCGCGTGCAACAACGCATGCAACCACGGCTCCTCCTGGTGGGACACCGACTGGTGGCGTGCAGTGCCGTCCAGATGCGCCAGCGCTGGAAACTCAGACCGGACTTCTTCTCGAACTCTGGGTCGGCGGCGAGCGAGGGGGGAAGTGAGAAGGAGAAGGCCTTCTCAGAAGGCTCCCCGGCCTTCTGAGAAGTCTTGCGGGCCCCGAAGACAGACAACGCTTCTCAGAAGGCGCGAGGGCTTCTGAGAAGTCCCGCCGCCCTCTGAGCAGGCCTTCTCCTTCTCAATTCCCCCCTCGCTCGCCGCCGACTGGGGGCCATCGACATGTACGGCGAGCGGACCTCGTACCCGAACACGCGGTGCAGCTCCTCCGCGGCGATCATCGGCGCCACTGGCCGGTACCTGGGGAAACTAAAAGGTTAAAGCGGCCAAAGGACACACACACACACAAATAAACTCACACAAATCCCAGGATCCCGATACTTTCCAATATTTCTGTGTTTTCGTATTCCCCCCCACTTCCCAAATGTTCCTATATTTTCCTAGGAATCGAGGGTTCATTGTGTCTGTGTGTTTTCCCCTCTCCCGAAAGGCACCTGTGCTGCTGCTCCCCGGGGACCTCTCCCGGGGTGCGTTCTTACCAGGACTTCGGCGAAGCCAGCGGTGGCCACGAGGTCCTCCCAGGAGGCCAAGAGAGGGCGGAAAGCGAGGCAAGGGTAGCGTCAGGTCGGGCATGTCCCCCTACAGGGGGATTTCGAACCAAAAATGAAAAATAGCCAACAAAATATTCAAATAACAGAACATTCGCCCGCGGAATATATTTTGACTATTTTTGGATATTCCTCCTGTGCAAGGGCAGGCCCGACTTCAGGGTAGCGGTATCGGTACCTGTTTTCCTCCTCTGAGTACCACTGCCTGACCTTCAGCCTGTTCAGGCGATCTCGCACAGACAGACAGGTGGGCACCGCGAGGAGTGACCTGTGGCCCAGGGCACGGGGGCCCACCTCTTGCCTGCCACGGACGACTGCAATAATCGGCGTGGCTGTCTGATTTGACTCCAACCGCCACGCGGGGCCGCCAGCCAGGAGCTCTGCCAGATATTCGACACCTCCAGAGGGCATCAACCTCGTTGCACCCCACTCTTGAGCTCTGGCTTCCAGAGTGTCGCGGCCCCATAGTGGGAATCCCAGGTACTGCAACCTTTGCGCACGGATTGGTGGCGCAATTGCCCACAAAGCGCCAATCACTATACCTGCGTCATTTGGCGATGCCGGCACATACATGTCTAGGGGTAGTGACCCACGCAGCAAGCTCAGCGGTCTCTTACCAGCAGCAGTGAGCTCGTCAAAAACAAGTTGGTTAGCGAGGACATTTAACGCACACCCGCCTGAGAGCACTAACCCATCCACTGCAGAGAATGTTGTTGATGCCAATGCCGCCAGGAGGCCTCTCACTACGTCGCGCACAAGGAAACCAAACTGAGTCTGCGCTGCAGCTGCCAACGCTCTCTGGCCCGAGACAGACTTGCAAGCCAGATGGACGAGTTCGGCAGGAACGCACTGAGATGGGGGACCACTGGAAATACTGCGGAACTGTTTGAAAACTCGGTGGACTTCGAAGTCTGGGGACCGCCGGAAGTATTTCCGAACAGCCCTGTGAACACTAGGATCCGAATCACCGGTGGCGGCATACCCCATGAGAGCACCTGGGGCACTGAGCCATTGGTTGCTCGACAATTGCATGAGCCAAGGGTATACGTCGACATCTGCACCGTGCAACTTGGGGTAGGCGTTGTTGAAGTCAGAGCAAATCTCCGAGTGCTTCTGCTGTCGACCAACCACTTCCGGCATAAGAGATGACAGCATTAGATACTTCATCCCGAGTCCGAGCTCAAGTTTTGCCACGCGGAACAGTCGCAACCCTACCCCTACATATACATTGAAATTGCCGTCCGGCCCATCGCCGTCATATGACAAAATCAAAGCAGAAGGGAAACGTGAATCATGATAGGCTAAGAGTGCATGAGCATGGTTGTGATCCACCACGTGCCACTGCCTCACCTCAAACACCTCTTCAACAACCCACTGGAAATCCGTCAAGTAATCACCGTCTTCTGACTCTGCAGCAAAGAAGCTGAAAATCCCATAATCGAATATCGTCGGGCAAGCTCCGTTGTCACACGGACAGTCTGTGCGCACCAGGTGCAGTGCGGCTTTCAGCTTTCCTTGCCAGTTTCCGTCCTTTTTGAGCCTGAAGTAGCGAACTCCGAAGACGCGCTCCAACTCCAGCACGCACTGAACCTGCCCGCCCACGCTCACCGCTATTGGAAGAGCAAAAAGCGGCATAAACATAAACTTTTGGAGATCCGCGCGGATTTCTCGGATCCGCCCTGGGCCCCTCCCTGGCGCGCGGAGCGTGCCAGGGGGCGGCGCCAGAGGCGCCGCCAGGGGGCCCAGCGCGGATCCAAGAGATACGCGCGGAGCGCCAAAAGTTTATGTTTGCGCCGTTGTTTCTTCTTCGAGCTATGCCCGAGTCGTGGCCAAAAAAGAAACTGATCGCGGACCGATTCCTCCGCAGCGGATCCGCGAGCTCGGCGTCCTCGCCGCCCGCCCCCGCCTCCCGAAACCGGCCCGTCTCCCAGCGCGGTGGGCCCCCATCTTGCGAGCAGGGGATCGACTACAGAATAATGATTAACTCCAGACCAAGCAGATACGTAAAGCCCCGTAGATCTGCAAACATTCTACGTGCTTGTTTTGGAAGCTCGACGAAACAATGACACCTTCTGCGTATTTTTCGTAAGTTCGACGGCAAAATCAAATTTGGCTTGAGGTAGATAAACTCTGTAGCCGATCCCCCACTCGAATCTCTGGCGGCACCCGCGAGTGTGTGGCGCGGGCCGCCTTCTCTAAGGAGGCGGCGGGGCTTCTAAGAGAAGCCGTCGGGGGAGCTTCGCGACGACTCTGGCACCCTCCGACACGCTCCCAGCGAAGCGCGCCTGATGGAAACCACCCCGAGTTTCCCTGAGATCTGGCGCTGCGAGAGCCTGCAACATCGCGAAACATCAGGACCGGAGACCTCCCACCTCTCTGCGGCACTCTTCGGCCGGGACCGATCTCTGGCTGTTTTCGAAAACGGCAGAATACCCCCGAACCATGCACGGGCACCTCTGGCGGCCCCGGACCCTGACATCCGCCGATCCGATTTTTGCCCGCAGCCCCATAGAAGCCTCCAGTCTGCAACTTCGGCAGCAAATCGTGTGAGCCTGGTTCACATGTTTGATTCCGTCTTCAGCATCGAGTAGCGCTTGGGAGTCGACGAGATAGCGCGCGTCGGCTAGCGTCGATTAGCATCGATTTAGCGCCGATTAGCGTCGACTAGCGTCGGACAGCGTCGATCCGCAAGAGCCGACAAGATGGTACGGGAGGCTCCCGGGAGCTGCCACCGAAAGTCTGCAACCAATTGCGAACCCTATCCCAGCAGGTCCACCCACCGCTGGGGTATCGGACACCCCCGCTGGGGCTCACTTAGCTGCAGACATCCTTCACAATTCAAAACCCTGGCCAGAGTTGCAGAAGTCTTACCTGGGTGGGGTTCACATGCGGCTGCTTGTCAAGGGCCTCCTGTTCACAGGGGGGATCTGTCGACCCCTATCCCAGGCTTCGCGGGGTTTCCAGATGGACAAACTATTGGGGACCCAACCCTGGGATATACGAGGGGGGGGCGCCCATCCTCGATAAGGGGTGCGTCCGAATGGCTCCTTTGGGGCGTATCGCATGGCATGGCTTCCCTCTTCCTTCCGAGCGGCCTGACCTTTCGGGCAGAACCGGGGGATCGGGGGAGACAAATGGCCCTTGACCCATCCAGACCCCCCACGCCATGAT